ATAATCAATTATTTTACCTATGGGGACAATTCCCTCTTACAAGGTTAGAAAGGAGACTCACCTCGCTCCGAAGATCCATAACCGGCACTCCACGCCCCTCCGAAGACTCTAATTGATGCACCACACTCCGAAACTAGCCAACGGTTACACAAACCCATTAATATATGCTTAATTATTCATCACAAACTAATTCATAGAAATTCCTAACTCCGATCGAAAAGTTGACCAAAACGCCCTCGGGCCCACGTGCCCGGAATCCGAAATTTTTGGAAGATAAAGATTACCCATGACCTTATGAACTCAAATATACGATTTACTCCTAATTCCATGCTCAATTTCGTGGCTAAATTCCAAGAATAAAATTTTCTAGGTTTTCCACCAAAACCACAATTTTTATACTAATTTTCATGCCCAAATCCATACATAATTGATGTATTCAACTCAAAATAGGTGGGGATAACTTACCTTAACATTGATGACGAAAATCCCCTCTTGAAGCTCCCCAAAAATCGCCCAAGCCTTGAAGAAATGAGAGAAATGAAATTCAACCCCGATTTTAAAACAAACTTTCTGCCTCCAGGCACTTTCGCACCTGCGGTCCATCGACCGCTTCTGCGGTTCCGCAGGTGCGGTCCAAATGCCCCTTCTGCAGTACCCCTGGCCACTCCCTTTTCCGCCTCTGCGACTCACCTTCCGCAGATGCGGTTCCGCTTCTGCGGAACTTTGACCGCATCTGCGGTCCTCTCCAAAATGCCCTCCTCCGCTTCTACGACTTCCTTTCTGCTTATGTGAGGTCGCTTCTGCTGTTTATCCACCGCAGAAGCGAAAATACCAGCAGCCAGATTCCTTCAGCTGTCCAAAAATCCCATTTTCAATCCGTTAACCACCCGGAATCCACCCGAGGCCCCCGGGACCCCAGCCAATCATACCAACCAGTCCCAAAACACATTACGGACTCGCTCGAGGCCTCAAATCGCATCAAACAACGCTAAAATCATGAATCGACCTCCAATCCAAACTTAATGAACTTTAGAATTTCAAACTTCTATTTCCAATGTTTAAACCTGTCAAATTACGTCCGATTGACCTCAAATTTTGCGCACAAGTCATATTTAACATTATGGACCTACTCCAACTTTCGGAATCGGATTCCGACCCCGATATCAAAAAGTCCACCTCCGGTCAAACTTCTCAAAAACCTTCAAATTTCTATCTTTAGCCAAAGGGCTCCAAAATAACCTACGGACCTCCGAATTCACTTCCGATCGCGCCCCCAACTCCAGAATCACCCTACAGAGCTATTCACAGTCTCGGAATTCCAAACGGACATCGATAGCACTGAAATGCACTTCAAGCCAAACTTATGAAATTTCTTCTAAAATGCTAACTTCCACAATAGGCGCCAAAACACTCCCGGGTTATCCAAAACCCGAACCGGGCATACGCCCAAGTCCGAAATCATCATACGAACCTGCTGGAACCTTCAGATCCTGATTCTGAGATTGTTTACTTAAAAATCCAATCTTAGTTCATTCTTTCAACTTTAAGCTTCTAAAATGAGAATTCTCTTTCCAAATCAACTCTGAATTTCCCGGAACTTAATTCCGACCACGCGTACAAGTCATAATACCTGAAATGAAGCTGCTCATGGCCTTAGGCTGCTGAACGGAGCGCTAGAACTCAAAACGACCGGTCGGGTCGTTACATTTTTAAACATTGGGCAATGACAATGGATACTGGTGGTGGAATGGAGAGGTGTAAGGAAAAGTGAAAACCAAGAAAGCGTCGTATATGAAGCTAGTGGAAAGTGTAGACGTGGAGGAGAAGAGGGCGAATAGGGAGCAATATAAGTTGGCTAAGAAAGAGGAGAAGCTAGCAGTTACAACGGCCAAGACTGTAGCTTTTTAGTCGTTTGTATGAGGAACTCGAGGGCTGATGAGCACAAAACACACACTTAAATATGCTCGCTAGTTGAATATAGTAATTTAGAATATCGTATCCACATGGATTGGAGTTAAACAATATTATCATAGTTTATAGCTTAGTTGTTATCCAAGATGATCCACAATTTGAGAATTATGTGATTTAAACTAAAATTAACTAAAAGTCTAAGCTATTGGCTAATGACAAACAACGCAAGTAGAAGGCAATACAATTTGGGGAAATTTAGGATAGGTACAATACAAATGTTTGGGATATAACTCTAGATAATTCACTTCTAATGTTCAAGTGAGTCTCTCAAATTCACTTGGTTATTAATTCAACTGTATAGTAGAAACTCCTCTCTCGATTAAGTCTAAACCTCACAAGATGAATCAATTTAAGATCGATGAAGATACGCAAGAATTCGTAATGGATTGATCTTTAGGAGAACCTCTCTCGATTATCCTTCTAACTAGGTTTAATCAACAATTCAACTAGCCTCTTTCAATTACTAAGAAGAATTAATGACTTCAACCACAATATATAATGCAAGAACAAGTTATGCCTCTCTCGATTACATGAACAAGTGAATATATGCAACGATTAAAACATCCAAAATGATTTCAATGCATAAAACTAGAGTTAATTATCCACAAACAAGTATCAATACACCAAATCCATCAAACCCTAAAGAGTATGTTTAAATCAAGAAAAACATAAAATGATCCAAACTCTTGTCTTGAGTGAGGATTGAATGATGAAATCCTTGTGCTTTTGCTTCTCCACCTCCTCCTTAGCTTCCTTAGGTCTTAGATGTGTCAAAAGTCCTCCAAATACCGTTTTTACATGCATGTATACTAAGTAGGGTTAGGCCCAAACGAAAACACATTTTCCTGCACGAAATAGGATTCCGACCCTGTAAAAATTTCACAGGCTCGCCGCATGGGGCGACATGCCATGTGGGGCATTAGTGGGAAAGTTCAGAGAGATGATTCTAATAGGCTGCAAGAAATTTGAACAGGCGCGGCGCCCACACACCACGGCAGTGGGGGATTCTTATAGTACGGATTTTTCTTGACTTTTTTATATCCAGATGTTGTTCTCGACCCCCGAACGCGATCCCGGCTTAATCCCTTGGGCTTTTACTCAGACTTCAAAGCTCCAAATAGCTCGAATTCATTTTATAACATCTACTTAGCTGGGAATCACTCCTACAAGGCATAAATCATACAATTAGTGCGAAACAATAGCGATTAAAGCTTAAACTTAATTAAAGTGCAGTAAATTAGAGTGCAATAAGAGACTAAAATACGAGATTATAGCCTACCATCAACACCCCACACTTAAACCATTGCTCGTCCTCAAGCAATCAAACCACACTTTATAAAGACATGACATTTTTAAACAACTCTCATAACTCATCATACCAAGACTAGTTAAAACAGATTAAGCACAATAGTGTAACTTATTCACCTCAAGAATTGGCTCACAAGTACCACGCATTATTCACAACTCACTCACTTACTCTAACATAGAGGTCAAGCATTACCTTTCCTTCCTAAATCAAGTGCCCTCACACAACAATAGAGAGTAGTTCCACACACCATAAAATTTAAGAACAATTAGGAACTCAAGATAGAAAAAATTTAAACACTCTCATAAACAACATTCATATGCCACAAAAGATGCACCATAGGCTTGCCCGTAGTGTACTACTCTACTAATTGAGTTCATTCAGTCAAGGATCAAGTAGGACTTTAATTAGGTTTAATGTAGGCTGCGGGACGAGTAGGAAACATTTAGATATAAGAGTGACTACACCTCCCTAAGAACTTTAATACATATTTTAATATTCAATACCCCACACTTATGTCAAATTATGGCTCCACCTTCACATCAATATACATGAACTCCCAAATTATTTAAACACAATTACATCAAAAGATACCACTATCAAAGATATTTTGGACAACAATACAACCTTTTTTTCTCATTCTTTTCTTTTTCAATTCAAGTGGCTCTTACTTTCAACATATTGCACATTTCTCCTTATTTCATGAGTTCCACTCAAAAGCCAAACCAACCACCCCGAACTTCAACTTTTACAAAGTTCATACAATTCAAGTGCTCATGAGAGATACAAGGTTCAAATAGATGGTCAATTTTGTAATGTGGTTGCCAAAGAAATATGATTACAGGATCAAAGGGGTTAACTACGATACATAACAATTAGGTGGGCAAACATATATCATTGGATCAACAAAGAAACACCTATATCACTTCCAACACTGAATAAAACTACTATTTCGCTTTGCAGACACACGAGGCAAGTTCTAGACATCAAATGCAATGCACAGAATCATACAAATCTCACACACACATGGCATATAACTCACTCAAGATTGAACTCATCAAGACACTCTAGTCAAAGCAGTTAAGCAAAGTTAAGATTATACAATTTAAGGTACTTATACAAGAGTCAAAAACTAAGCCTAAGCGTCACAACTAAAGCACTCACTATTCTCAAAGCATAACAAAGTCAAGAGATATTGCTTCCATTTCAAATCATAGCACAAGGTTTTCTACTCCTAACAAAAATAAAAACTAACTACACCCGGTTCAAACAAAACCCTTAGAAAAGACCGCGTCACAAAGAAAAACCAAGGCGGAATTGTTACACTACCTAACAAAAGAAACTCTGTTTGTCTCTTTCTTTCACCTTTAATCCCTCAAGAAACCCGTTGAATGATATCCATCATCGGAAAAAGTCGAAAATTTTAATTTTTTTATGGTTTTTTCAATTTTTCTACTACTTAAACTAACAAAAGCAAAAAACAATCAAGCTAACTAAGACTAATATACATACAACATACAAATATCCCCTACCATAAACTTTAAGTTGTGGCATTTCCCCATGACACACAATTAAAAAACATAAGGTAGAGGAAGCTTCCCCGAATCTCTAGTCGGGGTCTGAATCGAAGTCGGGATCCATTCTACGCGCCCGAACTAGTGCACACATCCACGCTGACAGCTTCTTTTCAGCCTTCTTGGGGTACACCCCACACTTGTCTTTCTCAATCAATGCAACCTTTTTTCACACCCTTCACCTTCCATTCAACACTTGCAACTGGCCTCTCTTTTTTTACTCCAGTTGCTACATTCATCTCAAAAGTCATAGTCTCCTCACCCACTCTATGTATGAGTTTTCTATCATGTATATCCAGTATAGCTCTACCCATTGCTAAAAATAGTATTCCTAAGATGAGGGGGACCTCCTTGTTCTCCTCCATATTCACCACTATGAAATCTACCGAAAATACGAACTTATCCACCCACACCAAGACATCTTCCACTATACCCTCGGGTGTTATAGTTGTTTGGTCTGCCAGCTGCAAAGATATTGGCACCGACCTTATCTCTCCAATCTCCTTCTCCAGTTTCCTGTAAATAGACAATGGCATTAGATTAATTGAGGCACCAGAATCACATAAAGACTTACCAAAGTTAAGAGTGCCTAAAGAGCAAGGTATCGTAAAACTCCCTGGATCTCCACACTTTTGTGGGAGTTTATATTGCAAAATTGCACTGCAATGCTCTATGAGTTTGACCGCTAAGGTCTCTTCTATCTTTCTCTTCTTTGTAAGGATCTACTTCAAGAACTTTGCATAAGCTGGCATTTGGGATAGAACTTCAGTGAATGGCAGGTTCACATTAACTTGTCTAGCATGTCTAGAAATCTCTCAAACTGCTTGTTCAGCTTTTCTCTATAGAGCTTTTTGGGAAAAGTTAGAGCATGCATGTGCTTGCTCACATCATCAGATTCCTCCCTTCTTGAAGTTTCCTCTTTCTTCTTTTTCTTTGCCCCCTTCTTGGTTTTCTTCTTCTTATCATCTTCAATTTTCAGCTCCTTCCCACTTTCTTTTTCAGGTGTCACCTCTTTTTTGGACTGGAGTGGGTTCTTTCAACACTTGCCCGCTTCTCAAGGTCACAATATTTATCGTTTCTTTGGGATTCTTCTCAATATCAACTGGCAGAGTACCTGGGATTCTCTCAGACAATATATTTGCAATTTGTCCCACTTGTCTCTCCAAGTTACGCAAACTTGTCCCAAGTTCTTTGATAGCTGCACCATGAGCATCTAGCCTCTCATCCATATTGACAATGAAGGACTTCATAAGATCTTCTAGCCCAGACTGAATTGGCTTTTGAGGCTGAAACTGCAGCCTCGACTGATTCACAAAACCAGGAGCTCCTTGAAATCTGGAGTTATTTTGTTGCCATGCATTTGCTGTACCCCCAGGTGAACTCCATGAAAAATTGGGATGCTTCTGACCCATTGCATTGAAATTATAATTACCCACATCATTCACTTCCTCCATTGAAGCTTGACACTCATGAGTGAGGTGTCCTCTTCCACATATATCACAGGCTGCAGGAGACTCATTATGTATCGAAGCCAAGATTAGCTTCCTTATTTCTTTTGCCATGGCATCAAGCTTTACCTGCACAGATGTGTTAGCATCGACCTGGTGAACACCAGTTGATCTTCTTCTTTCAGTAATCTTAGAGGGCCGCTGATTTGCATCTTCAGATAACTCATCTAGAATAGTGACTATCTCCTTTGGAGTATTTTTCATAAACGGGCCTTCAACTGCATTGCTCAATGTTCTGCGTGAGGCTGGTGTCAACCCATCCCAAAAGTCCTGGAGTTTCATCCAGAATTCAATTCCACTATGTTGACACTTTCTAACAATCTCCTTAAACCTCGCCCAAGCTTCAAACACAGTTTCAGACTCATTTTGGTAGAAGTTATGGATTTCTCTTCTAAACTTGCCCGTCCTAGCTGAGGAGAAATATTTAGCAAGAAATTTTCTGGTCATCTCCTCCCATGTTCTAATTGATCTGTGGGGCATGCTTCGAAGCCAGTGCTTTGCATCATCTTTGAGAGTGAAGGGGAATTCCCTTAGGTAAACTGCATTTTGTGACACATCGTTGTATTGAAAGGTGTTCATGATCTCCTCGAAGTCCATAAGATGATTGTTTGGATCTTCATTCATCTTTCTTCTGAAGACGCATCTGTTTTGGAGGGTTTGGAGCGACCCTTGCTCCTATTAAAAATTGTTGGAAGATATCGGTTCAGGGAAAATAAGGTTGATAGGATAAGTACAAGACAAATATTTGGGATATAAGTCTAGATAATTCACTTTTAATGTTCAAGTGATTCTCTCGAATTCACTTGGTTATTAATTCAATTGTCTAGTAGAAACTCCTCTCTCGATTAAGTCTAAACCTCACAAGATGAGTCAAATTAAGATCGGTGAAGATATGCAAGAATTCATAGTGGATTGATCTTTAGGAGAACCTCTCTCGATTAACCTCTTAACTAGGTTTAATCAACAATTCAACTAGCCTCTTTCGATTACTAAGAAGAATTAATGTCTTCAACTACAAAATATAATGCAAAAATATCACAAGTTATGCCTCTCTTGATTACATGAACAAGTGAATATAGATACAACGATTAAAATATCCAAAATGATTTCAATGCATAAAACTAGAGTTAATTATCCACAAACAAGTATCAATAAACCAAATCCATCAAACTCTAAAGAGAACTACTCCATAGATATGGAGTAGTTCATCACAAATATGTTTAAATCAAAGAAAAACATAAAACGATCCAAACTCTTGTCTTGAGTGAGGACTGAATGATGAAATCCTAGTGCTTTTGCTTCTCCACCTCCTCCTTAGCTTCCGTAGGTCTTAGATGTGTTAAAAGTCCTCCAAATAACGTTTTACATGTATTTATACTAAGTAGGGTCAGGCCCAAATGAAAACACCTTTTCCTGCGCGAAATAGGATTCCGACTCTGTAAAAATTACACAGGCGCGCCGCATGGGGTGACGCGCTATGCGGGGAATTAATGGGGAAGTTCAGAGAGCTGATTCTGACAGGCTGCAGGAAATTTGAACAGGCACGCGCCCCACGCGCCGCAGCAGTGGGGGATCCTCAAAGTATAGATTTTTCTTGGCTTTTTGATATCCAGATGTTATTCTCGACCCCCAAACGCGATCTCGGCTTAATCCCTTGGGTTTTTACTCAGACTTCAAAGCTCCAAATAGCTTGAATTCATTCCATAAAATCTACATAGCTGGGAATCACTCCTACAAGGCATAAAATATACAATCAGTGCAAAACACTAACGATTAAAGCTTAAACTCAATTAAAGTGCAGTAAATTGGATTGCAATAAGAGACTAAAATATGATATTATGGCCTAAAATCATGGGCCGAGGTGGGTATAAGAGGTTGTTCAGGTTAGCCAAGACGCGAGAAAGGAAGGCTCGTGTGATGACCCAAAAGGTCATCACTTGTTTTTAAATTAAATTCTGCATTTCGAGACCTTAAAAACCTCTTTCAGCATCACCTCGATTTGCATGCGCAGTCCGGGCACGTAGCCGGAAAGGTCTATAGGTGAAAATCTGTGAAAAATGATAAAAGAGACTTTAAAATGAATTAAGTTGACTTCCGTCAACATTTTGGGTAAACTGACCCGGACCCGTGATTTGACGGCCCCGGAGGGTCCGTAGGAAAATATAGGACTTGGACGTATGCCCGGAATCGAATTTCGAGGTCCCAAGCCTGAGAAATAAATTTTTAAAGAAAATTGTTTTCTGAAATTATTTATGAGATTTGGAAATGAATTGTGATTAAAACTTGGTGGTTCGGGCCCGCATTTTTGTTCCGGCGCCCGGTATAGGTCTTATATGTGATTTAAGATAAGTCTGTGTAATTTGGTAAGAAACCGGCTTGAAACGACGTGAATCGGATCGTTTTTGAGAAAATTGGAAATTTGAAGTTCTTAAGAAAATTTCATGATTTTGATGCTAAATTCATAGTTGTTGATGTTATTTTAGTGATTTGAATGCACGAGCGAGTCCGTATGATGTTTTTAGGTTGGTGTGCATGTTTGGTTTGGAGCCCCGAGGGCTCGGGTGAGTTTTGGATAGGCCACGAGGTGTATTCGGACTTAAGGAATTGCAGACTTCAGCTATTTCTGTGCAGGCCTGCAGGCTTCGCATTGCGAAGCCTGGCTCGCAAATGCGATATCGCAAATGCAAGGGCTTGGTCGCAATTGCGAAAGCAGCCCAGGCCAGCCTATCTTTGCAATTGCTAGGACTTTGATCGCAAATGCGATCCCCCAGCTTGAGGCCAGTAATCGCGAATACGACATATGGATCGCAATTCCCAGCTCGCAACTGCGAGCCATTTTTCGGGAATGCGAACATAGCAGAGGTCGGGGTTCGCAATTGCGAACCCTGTTCGCAATTCCCATATCTGCAACCTGCAAATTTTTATACTTAGCCGAAAATCAACCATTTTTCACATCTTTTCAAAACACAAACTCCCTAGGCCGATTTTTCAAGAACAAATCTTCTTCCAAATCGATTGTAAGTCACTTTTAACTCGTTTCCTTCAATCATTAACATCTTCTAACATGATTTCAACTCCAAATCAATGATTTTCATGGGGAAATTGGGTGTTTTGGGTAGAACCTAGGTTTTTTCAAAAAAATGGGGATTTGGACCTCGATTTGAGGTCCGATTTCAAAACAAATTATATATTTGAGTTTGCGGGGGAATGGGTAATCGGGTTTTGGTTCGAACCTCGGGTTTTGACCATGTGGGCCCGGGGGCGATTTTTGACTTTTTGGGTAAAACTTTTGGAAACTCATTTTCATGCATTATAATTGATTCATTTAGCATTTATTGATGTAATTAAGTAACTTATGGCTAGAAACGAGCGAATTGGTGGTGGAATCAAGGGCTAAAGCGATAATTGAGACGTGAATTGTGTTCGTGGCATCGAGGTAAGTGTTTGGTCTAACCTTAGCTTGAGGGATTAGGAGTTGAGTCCTATTTGCTATGTGGTAATTGTTGAGTACGACGTATATGCATGGTGATGAGTATCTATACGTTGGTGTCTAGCATGCCCGTGAGTCTCTTAATGCGATTTTTATGACTTCGTCATATTATTCATATCTTGGTGATGATTTTTATTTGTTGGGCAAGGTTCGTGGAAGTAATTGTGATGTTTGATTATTGAGGAGCATTGGCTCAAGTTGTATAACGAATTGTGAAAGTATGAGCGGTAATTGAAACCTTTGGAGCATTGGCTCAAGTTGTAAGTAAGTTGTGAAAAAGTGAAAAAGAGAAAAGAATCACTATATTGACTCCCTTGCCGGGATATTGTTGTTGTTTTGATGTTGTTCTTTGCCGGGACTTGTTGTTGAATTATTGTTCCCTTGCTGGGATTCTTATTGTAATTTCATTCATTTCCTTGCCTTATTGTTTGTGATTGTTGTTTGGGTGAGGAAGAGAGTTAAAGCACGAAGGGTGATGCCGTGCATTGTTTTGGTAAGAGAGTGTTAAAGAACGAAGGGTGATGTCGTGTATGATTTTGTGAGGAAAGAGTGTAAAGCACGAAGGATGATGCCGTGCATTGTTTTGGTAAGAGAGTATTAAAGTACGAAGGGTGATGCCGTGTATGATTTTGTGAGGAAAGAGTGTAAGGCACGAAGGGTGATGTCGTGCCGCACGATGTACCATTCCGTGCCGATTATATTGATTATATGGTGAGGACGAGAGTAAAAGCATGAAGGGTGATGCCGTGCACATTTTCATTACTTGATTGCTTTGGTGAGGACGAGAGTAAAAGCACGAAGGGTGATGCCGTGCACTTATTATTTTCTGGTTCTCTGTTGATATCTGAGATATATTGTTTCTTCTATTTACCTGTTGTCTTTCTATTCTGAATCGATATCTCCTCCGCAGCATGCTACCCCTCCCATACTTGACTGTTTAATTATGTACCTCTTTTCCGTTGTATATAGTTGAATTTCACAGGTTTGTTTGGTAGTCTGGTCCTAGTCTCGTCACTACTTCGCCGAGGTTAGGCTAGGCACTTACCAACACATGGGTTCGGTTGTGCTGATACTACACTCTGCACTCTTTTGTGCAGATCCCAGTGCTGTTGACTTTGGACAGTAGATTGATTGACTACCTTCAGTCCACGCGGAGATCCAAGGTAGACATTCAGGCGTCCGCAGGCCCTGGCGTCTCCTCTATCCTTTACTTCCTGTTTCATTTCTTTGATTCAGAAACAGTGTATCTTTTATTTTCAGACTTTGTATTTAGCACTCTTAGATCGTCTGTGGTACTATGACACCAGTTCTGGGTGATTAAGGCTTAAACAATTGTATTAGATTCATATTTCAGTTATTTCACTATATTTCTTCCGCTTATTGAAATTTTTGCTGTTTTCACATTATTGCTTTATAAATGCTAAAAAGGTATAAAAATGGATAAAGGTAATCTGTTCAATAAGTGGCTTTCCTAGCTCACATTAGTAGGCGTCATCACGACTCCCGAGAGTGGGAAATCCGGGTCGTGACAGCTCGTGACGTGGACCAAGTGAAATGCATAAAGGACGAAGAAGGTAGAGTTTTGTTGGATGGCTTATTCATCGGAGATAGCAGACCTACTTCCATAGTCTTTGCCACAACCCCAATTTCCCTATGTAGGATGTCGTGATGACACCTAGTCTCTAAGACTAGGTAAGCCTAACACTAACTGAATTAAGGATAGAATTTAACCAGAACAACTACGAAGCATGAAACTGAAATTTCTATAGTAAAACCAATGATCCTGAGTGCAATACAATACCAAAAATCGGTAGTACGTGTCATAAGCTTTACTGAGTTTACTTGAATAATATTCTAAGTACAACTGTTCCGGAAGAGAAATAGACAGTACAAGTACAATATCAGAAGGTGACTCCGAAGCCTGCAAACACAACGACAGGTTTACCTCGAGTCTCCACAGCAAAACCCCAAACAACTAGCTAGTGATCAACCAACTCCAAAGTACCTGAATCTACACAAAAATGTACAGAAACCGTAGCATGAGTACACCACAGCGGTACCTAGTAAGTATCAAGACTAACCTCGGTGAAATAGTGACGAGGGATAGTCAAGATACATACTAGACTAAATAACCTGTACAGGTATGAACGTGAAACTAACAGGAAAACAATGTCAGTATAAGCTAAGCATGGTAAAGATAACAAAACAATACTCGTAATAAAGCACTAGAAAGAACGATTAGAAACATGGGACAAACAAGTAATAATGCCATAGAGTGAGATGAACACAATTTAAGTCCGGTGAAACCAAGTAGAAGGAACAAGTAATAATTCAATAAGAGCCACCACTTTCTCACAAGATTCGTTCAAGGATTTCCCCGAGGTACTTCACCTCATAGCCACATTTCACGGGTCCTAATTTGTGAACCCTAATCACTTGGCATCTAGTGCCCATATTACCATTCATAATCGCACGGACGACTCATGTGGCAAGGGAGTGACAATATCAAATATCTGCACGGACAACTCATGTGCCAACAATAATAATGACTGATGACCACACGGACAACTCGCGTGCCAATAGAACAACTCTCACACAGAAGGCAAGTAAAGGAGAGTACATGTAAATCGTCAATAACATCAGGATTCATCTTCTTAAACCGATATGGGTCATTAATTATGTGTATGCTTGTGCAAGTGTTCTATCACAATTCAAGTCAACAAGTAAGAGTAGAAAGAATAATTGGCACATAAGAAACGATCACCAAAAAATGTAAAAGGTATAACTCACATAAGGTAGGCACACCACTACACAAATATCAACAATAACAATGCCCCTAGGCCATCACAAGTCATCACAAATCAATCCCCGACATAGCCCGTCTTTTCTCACCATGTGCGCAACACTAAAGTAAATGCCCGCCTTGTCTTGCCACACACGCATAATAATATTCTCACCTTATCTCGCCACATATGCAAGTCCACATATATATAGCCCGCATTGTCACGCTGCATGTGCAATTATCAATAGTAACAATAGCACGGACAACTCACGTGTGAACACCCAATAATTCTCTCAACAATATCACGTGTGCCAAAACATAACAATACAATATAAGGACTTTCACCACATGTGCCCATATGCCATAACTTTTCCTCAAAACAATTTCAATATCACAACCACGCATAGCCCTTGGCTCAACAACACTAAGTACAACAACAACAACAATCACACGAGAGTACGACAAGTAAATCAACACAAGAACTTTAGAACATAAAGAAACGGAAGAACGGGCTCACAAAGAAAAACATGAAATAATGGTCTCAACAAGAATAGCTCAACAAGGGGAGAGATACCGTGCAACAATGATTCCACATAGGTACAACTCGACGATAAGAGATATAGCATGATTCAGTGATTCCAAATAAGGATAAGTCAACAATGAAAGGGATAACAAAACTTCAATTATGGTTAAGTAAATTAAGCAAAGGACGACGATAACTTCAATTAAGGTTAAGCAATTACGGAGAGACAACATGGCAATAAAAGAGCAACAACTTCAGTTAAGGCACATAAAAGTTTAAATTGGCATTAATTCCAAGTAAGACACGTAAGAGTGAATTTAGTAAATAGAGGATTTAACATGATAAAACAACTTCATATCTAATGAACATAAGAACCTAAAAGCCCTAAACTGTCAAATTTCCACAATTAAGTCCGAGTACGTACTCGTCACATCGCGTACACGACCTTCACATGACCCAATTAGCACAAATGACTCAAATCCTAAGGGCTAGTTCTCTCACACAAGGTTATGCAAGATACATACCTCAAAGAAGCTATACTGATACTCTAAAATGACCTTCTCGAGTGAAACAAACTCCGAATGGCTCAAATCTAGCCAAAATAACTTTTTTTTTTCAAAATAACTTCAAAATCATAAATAAAACTCATAGAAAATAATTCTGGATAATAAAGCTTCGATCTTTAATCAAAAATAAAAATTCAACCCGGGCCCGCACCTCGAAACACGACAAAATTCATAAAAATCTGAATACTCAATCGATAACAAGTCCAACCATAAAAGAATTACCAAATCCCGATATCACATCGCCCTTGAAATCCTTATTTTACATTTTGAAAGATTTTTACTAATTTTTTCCCAACTCAAACCACTAGTTTAATGATAAAAATAAAAATGGAATCATGAAATAAAATCAAATCTGGGTAGAGAACACTTACCCCAAATCCATAAGTTAAGAACCCCTCAAAAACCCCTCAAGCCTCTTCTCTCCCCTTTCCCATTTCTACCATCTCCCTCCATCGCTGCCTGCCGGGTTTCATCACCAGTCAGGCGGCGACGCCCACCACGACCTCCCCACTCCCTGCTCTCTCCAGATCTGACCAGATCTGGGTGGAAGTGGACCCACGCTGCCTCTGTCGAACGTTGAAATCCGGCTACTACTGCTTCTCCTGTCTCCGTCGCTCCTCTTATCCACCTTCTCTAATGGTTTAGTAGTTTTTTCAGGCTTTGTGTCTGCCGGAAAACAATTAGATTTGGACGGAAATACAATTTTCCGGCGATACCTGCTACTATGTGCTTCACGTGTTGCCCTGGTTACCCTTGCCGTCATAGTCCGAGAGTGCTGGAGAGAAGAGAAAGCGGTAAAAACCTCTCTTATTCGGTCACCAAGAAGTCGGACGTAGCATTTTTTTCCTAATAACTTATAGTTGACGAACTGGCCGGAAAGTTTAGCCGGTGACCACTGTTTTTCTCTCTCAGTTTTGAACTTCTGTGGTTCTGGCGCTTTTGCTCGCTGACTTGACTCTCCGATGGGTCAGTGGGTGTTAGATTTCTATCGCTACTGTTCACAGGTGTTGCATACGAAATTCCTAACTGTTCTTCATGAGTTTCACACATCTTTGTGGCCATCTCTGTGGGGATCTTGTTCTGTTTTCCCTATCGCATTGCCTCAGTTATTTGGTTGGTTTAATGGTGTTTTCTGGTCAAATAGGACGTTGTTCAATTTCGTTGATATAGCTTGCTTGGCTATCGTGTTTAATTCTGTCATACATATTTGAAATCTCAATCTCTTTGATGCTCGCCGGACCACGATGTAATTCTGACCCCGTTTGATGTTTGTTCATACTTTGTTTTTGACCAATTACTGATGTGAGCAAAACTAGTAGACCGAGGCCTATGAAAAGATTTAAAATTTTTGAGGTATTGTGATGATTTTTGACTGATAAGGGCAAGATACTACACCGTCCCTCGAATCTGGAACAAAAATATATTTATGACGTAATGATGAAAGCCAAAGAAAAATAATAGACAAGAATGCGACGATCCGCGCTTTGGAAGGCAACACGGTTGGCCACCGGAGTTGCTACCAAGTCGGCGTTCGCGTTCTAGTGTCTTATTGCTATATGGCATACACCATTCGAGCCTCCAAAAATATTTTTAAATTATTTTCAAAATAGTATTTTCCTATAATATTTTTAAAATTATTTTTAAAAAAACTTTTTCCAAAAACCTTTTTTAGAAAACAATCTTTCCAAAAAACAAAAACATTTCAAATCAATTTCAAGAAAAATTTTCCAAAAATATTTTAAAACGAAAACCGTTTAAAAAATATGTCACTCTATTAGTGTGATTCTTACATAATATTTTACTAATAATTTAATTCTCTTGTCCTGCAAAGTACTATTACGTGGAGTCGTTTTCGGAAGACGACACTCGGAAATGAAACCTACCCCGCCAAATTTCCGCTTCGTATTTTCCGTTTTCGGATGTACCTAAAACGTAAAGTATAATGAAAATCGTAAATAGAATTTGTGTTTGCTCGCTTACGGTGATGCTGCTTATTTGCTAAACACTTAGGAAATTGCATCTAGTTAATAATCAGAGTAACTTGCCATATTATGTGTCAAATAATTCTTGAAGTGTGTATGAGATGTTGAATCTATTTCATGATATGGTTAATTAAATTAGGACCGGTGTATACCTAACTAATCAGATTAGTCACATCCATAAAAATGAAAATATGTCATCTTCTTGCAAAAAAAAAAAAAAAAAATAATTCTTTCTGTGTCTTAAAATTATATGAATATATTTTCGAACCACTTTATGTATAAAATTGTTCTTTAATTTAAGTAGGTAATTGTAGTTGGACCATCATACTATTCTTTGAGAAAACTTAGGCTTTGCGGTCATTCAGGTTTGGCTCACATAATTGTGTTCCGAGACCATGACTCTAAAAAATTATCTTTAGTTATTCATCGAATAATAATTTATTGTTAGCACAAATATTTTTCTTGTGTTGATAAAATAATTGCTTATGTCACAAGTATTTTGATACATCTTTTCTATACCATGTTCATTCATTATTCATCAAATTACTTCTTTTAGTTTATCCATTGTCTACTAATATTGTTTAAGGGTTATTCTTTTCCGCTCTTACCAATCATTTAGAGTCAATTTCTATTCCTAACTTTTCACTTAAATGGTTAATCTTTGCACATAATTCAAAATCTTCCAAAGTGTATCCTTTAATTAATATTCATTTAGTTAATTTATAAAGATTCCACATATCACTACATAATATCTTATATTTTTATTCCTTTAACACTTATTCATTCATGTTAATATTTTCACACTTTGTTTCTTTGGTCAAATTACTCATATGCAAATAATCATTCCTTTCTTTTCACTTTACTCCTTGATACATGTTCTCTCATACTTTAATTATTCATTCAAAGTTTTTGTCTTCAAATCGTAAGTATATTCTTTTAATCTTATTCTTGTGAAATTCAAATCTTTGTTTAAATACTTTGAGCCAATATGTATTATTGAAGCACAATTCTTTTATATTATTCAACTCACACTACGATACGTTTCTTTAATATATTTTTAATACTTTTAATACTCCATTCTTGTTGCATATTTTGGTTACATATTTAATTATTCTTTGTCTAAATTACTTTTCACACTTATTCTTCAAAGCACAACTCTTTGTACTCTTCATATATTCTATACAATTCGATATACCTTGATCATTTCGTTTTCAAAACATAAAGTCAATGGCATGCTTTATTTGCACATGATCTATTATGTATTTAAGTATTCATTTGGGTACATGTTAATCACCATCTTATTTGAATTCTTTGCTAATAGTAGTGAGTATTTACTTGAACCTCCCTTCTTATTTGATCGAGTCCACTGGAACCATATTTTGAGGATTTTGAGTAATGCTTAACACCTTCCCCTTGTGATAACTTGAATTCTTACCTAGATCTCAATGGTTTCACAGACCATAATCAAATTTGCATTACATAGTGTATGTCACGACAGAAAATCTGACTAGTCGTGATGACACCCAATCCAACTCGCTAGGTAAGCCTGTTTAACAATAATCCAACTTCAAATGAGATTTAGTGAGGAAATAATGATGAAATTATTGAACTCTTATACAACTTCCTAAGGACTGGTAGTACAAATCATGAGTTTATAAGATTTAGAGTTTACCAAGCTGGTATGAAATAAATACTTCATCTGTTCGAAATATACATAAACAGATTCAAAAATCTAAAGCTACCAAGAACAAGAGGCAGCTATAACCGGAATGTTGGTACATCTTCAATGCCAGCTCCCGCCACACACAACAACATAAACTCCGAAATCAGAACGCAAGGTGCAGAAGTGTAGTATGAGTACAACCGACCCCATGTACTTAATAAGTAACAACCCTAACCTTTGGTTGAAAGTAGTGGCGAGCTTGGACAACGGTCAGAGTCCAACATGGCATGTATCAATAATTCCTACTGCGGCGTGCAGCCCGATCCCATGAACATTCTCATAATCAGGCCATCACCCTCACTTAGTCATCATTCTCTCCAGTCTCCCGGCCTCACAAATCTCATGCCAATCAGCCCAAATAATGATAATATGATGTGAGACAAATGATAACATAGACTGAGATATGATATGCAATGAATGAGTATGACTGAGTATATAATTGCAATTTAAGCAAATAACTCAACAGCAGAAATGATCTCACTTGATCCCAACAAGATAAACATGTAGCCTAAACATGGTTTCTAACATGGAACACAACTCAATTAATCTAGAACGTAGAAATTTTATGGGTAGACTACACAATACCACAAAATCAACCAACTTACAATTTACACAGTGCACATCCACACGCCCATCACGTAATATGTGTGTCACCTCAACGACAAACACATAACACATATATTCAGGGGTTCATAGCCTTATTACCAAGTTTAAAGAAGTGTTAATTACCTCGATGAAGCCAAATCCAATACCGAGCAAGCCAAACGATACTCCAAAAATGACATCCCGCGCGTATCGACCACCGAACGGCTCGAAACTAGCCAAAAGCAACTCAAAAAAAATCAAATAATGTCAAAGGAACAAACCTAATAAGTAAAGGTGGAAATCTTTAATCAAAAGCCCAAAGTCAACCAAAAAAGTCAAACCCGAGCTCGCACCTCGGAACCCGACAAAACTCACAAAATATGATAACCCATTCAATTACGAGTCCAACTATACTAGTTTCACTCAAATCCGACTGGGAATAGATGTTCAAAACTCAAAAATTCACTTTATGAAATTTTAGACAATAAAGCCCCTCCCAAATTTCACTTTGAAATCATCAATCAAATGCCAAAACCGAAGAGGGATTCATGAAATATAACCAAAACCGAGTATAGAACACTTACGCCAATCCATGTGGTGAAAATTGCCTCCAAAATAACCCAAATCCAAATTTCCCAACTCAAATTATGTCCAAATGAACAAACCCTAGATATTATATGCTTTTGTCAAGCTGTTCTGCCTTGTTTCTTGTGCCAAACAATCCCGAAACTTGACTTTGATGCCTCCAACGGATTCTCCATGAAATTTAAGCCAGGTTAGGCTTTTGAATCACTCCGTTGGACCTTATAATAAAGGAGATATGTTGGTTCCAATATTTGGATATAGTGCAGATTTTCAAATACGAATTGAGTGGTAATTTCGTAATTAATCTAAAAAAATTTAGCAACCCAATTCTTAGTAAAATGATCATAAATTCCTCATACGATGTTGAAACTTGATGATTCCACTTGCTATAGTTCCAAAATTACGATACGAATCTAATGATTCAATCAAACAGAAATTGGAGCTCATTTGCTTAGTGTGGTACTATTTATGCTTGAAGAAACGACGCCGAAACATAAAAAACGAACGCAACACAACCCAAACATATTCAAAACTCACCCGAGCCCCTCGAGACCCTTTACAAACATACCAACAAGTCCCATAGCATAACACGGACTTACTCGATGCCTCAAATCACGCATAACAACATTAAAACCACGAATCGCACCTCAAATCAAACTTAATAAACTTTGAATCTTTCAACTCCCAAAACTCGTGCCGAACCTTATTAAATCAACTCGGAATGAACTCAAATTTTGAACAAAAGTCCCAAACGATATAACGAAGCTATTACAATTCTCGGAACCATAATCCAAACTTGATATCATAAAATTCAACTCCCCATCAAACTTATGAATATTCCAAACCTTCAAATTTCCATCGTTCGCCAAATAGTGCCGATACCTTCTAGGTAATTCACTTTTAATGTTCAAGTGAGTCTCTTGAATTCACTTGGTTAATTCAATTGTCTAGTAGAAACTTCTCTCTCGATTAAGTCTAAACCTCATAAGATGAATCAATTTAAGATCGGTGAAGATATGCAAGAATTCGTAGTGGATTGATTTTTAGGAGAACCTCTCTCGATCAACCTCCTAACTAGGTTTAATCAACAATTCAACTAGTCTCTTTCGATTACTAAGAAGAATTAATGACTTCAACCACAAAATATATGCAAAAATATCACAAATTATGCCTCTCTCGATTACATGAACAAGTGAATATAGATGCAACGATTAAAACATCCAAAACAATTTCAATGCATAAAACTAGAGTTAATTATCCACAAACAAGTATTAATATACCGAATCCATCAAACCCTAAAGAGAACTACTGCATGGATATGGAGTAATTCATCACAAATATGTTTAAATCAAAGAAAAACATAAAACGATCCAAACTCTTGTCTTGAGTGAGGATTGAATGATGAAATCCTTGTGCATTTGTTTTTACACCTCCTCCTTAGCTTCCTTAAGTCTTAGATGTGTCAAAAGTCCTCCAAATAAATTTTTTTCCATGTATTTATACTAAGTAGGGTCGGGCCCAAATGAAAACATCTTTTCCTGCGCAAAATAGGATTCCGACTTTATAAGAATTGCACAGGCGCGCCGCATG